TAAATAAATGGGCTCTTGAGGGGGTGCATAAGCTGGAAAAGGTTCGATTTGGGTTTCGTGAGAGATCTCGGGAGAGAGATCGAGAGAGGGTTCGTGAGAGGGTTCGTGAGAGGGTTCGTGAGAGGGTTCGTGAGAGGGTTCGTGAGAGGGTTCGTGAGAGGGTTCGTGAAAGTGTTCGTGAGAGAGATCGAGAAGGGGTCCGTGACGGGCTTCGAGACGGGCTGCGAGAAGGGGTTCGATAAGGGGTCCGAGAAGGGGCTCGCTCAAGGTTGTGTCCAAAATGTGAGTTTCTGGGACGGGTTGGCCTCCATGCAGTGGTACGTCACGAGGAGAATTCTCGCCCGAGCCTTCTGGAACATCCTGTAGTAGAGTGTACCCCGATCTGTGCCTCTGTAAAGTTGAGCGAGTCGACCGTTTTCTGGCCTTGTTCTGGGGCTGTGGGCGCGAGGATCCCTGTTCCTCCCCGTCGTACTTGTTGGAGTTCCCTCCTACACTTGGAATGGGGTAGCGAGGTCCTTTTCCGTCCTCGAAGGGATTATGATTATTGGTTTCTATCTCGGATTCATAGCCAGCGTCTACACCGGTGCCGGATTGAGGGGCCCTGTCTTCTTGTGGTCCGTAGAATAAGAGGGGAACCTCTTCCTCGCCTGCGTGCTCCGTGGACGTGTCGCCTCGCGATGGTTGAGACCCCGATGGGGTCTCCACATCTGTTTCGTAGCCTCTGTTGCGAACACTGGAATACTTGTTGACCGATGGTCTATAGATTGCTTTTCTTTTTCCTTTGATGTCACTAGTCGAAGGCTGTTCAGACACTACCTCGTCGATAGATCGTGAAGCGGTCGCTCCGTAGACATCTCGTGCCCATTGCGAGTTTAAGTTTAGAGTTCCATGCTGCTCTTGAGTTTGGGCCTGCTGATGAGCGCGATTAGGCAGTCGAAATCGAACCCGGGGGCCAGGTGGTCTCCACCCGCGAGGTCTCGTGTCTGATACGAGATAACTTTGCGGAGAATTCAAGCCTTCCCGTTGTTGTTGGAATTGTTCATTAGCCCATGCCCCAATATAAGGTAACTAGTCGCTCATGGGGTCCGGTGAGTCAAGCCTCTTCGTCTCCTCTGTACTGACGTCTGCCTCCGTGAGACCAACAGGGATTTCAGGGCTTTGCCAATCGAACTCAGGCCTCTTCGTCTCGTCTGTACCGACGTCTGCCTCTATTAATTCAATAGAGATTTGAGGGCCTTGGTGCGGTGATTCAGGCTTCTTCGTCTCCTCTGTGCTGACGTCTGCCTCTGTGAGAGTAATAGAGGATGAAGAGTCTTGCCGACGTGTCTTGTCGTCCTAAAATATGTTAGAGAGGTCTGCTGCATGGTCATGTATGCGCCTACCCAAGTCTTGTATGGGAACCTCCTGAGGGGACTACCAGGAGGATCAGACAGTGGGTGAGAGTCGAGTGACATTATGGGATATGTTACGAGGGCCGATTGGAGAAGCGACGGAGTAATCGAAGACCGACAGCCTGTCCAAAGTGTGGATTAGATGTAACGAATGACTATGAAATTGATATTGGGTCAGTACGTGTAACGACTGTGAGTATATCCGACCCGATGTTGGAGTGATGGGTTAACACGGACTGAGATGACAAGTCCAGAAAAAGGGTTGTCGGATACATGCTCGCCATCCTTCACCGGGAGTAGGTATGGAATCTTCCCGTCGTCACGTCTCTTGGTTTCCATCTGGAAGGCCCAATTGCCAATTGGCAACTACAGCTTCCCCCGTGAGTGGAAAGTCAAAGTTAATGACGCGATTTTCAACGGAAGACTGATAAGGGCTGCAGGTACGGATCACTGGCTTCGAATCGGCCATCCATCATGCAATGCGCACGTGGAAAGCAAAATGTACGTTCCCCGCAAAAGACGCATCTGCGATTTAGGGTACCATGGGCGGCGTTTATGTCTTTTTGTCTTGTCGCGGCTACTATGAACTCGTCTAGATCCGCCAAGTCGATCATATCGGGACGGCATTTCTTAGAACATCCGAAACGTTATATCGTAGTTCGCGGCGAGAAAGACCTGTTCTTTGAGACAAGTTGTCCGTCGACATTCTCTATCGATAGCCCGAAATGCTTGAACACAATTCTAGGTATTCTGCAATTCCAATCGGAAGACTCCCGTCATCGCTCATTGATGGCCGTATCAGAGTCTGGTTTTTCCCTGTATCGCCGAATCCAGAATCAGGTGAGCATGTTCAGTCTGAGTTAAGCCAATTCCCGTCATGTTTGCCTGCATGTGTGGACAGTGGATTGGCTCCGCATGCATCGAAGGATTCGAAAATTGACCTATTCCGCTATTCGAGTTGTAGTTTCCAAAGGATAGGTACTGGTATTCAGACTCTTTTTTTCCTACTGGCGCTCGTGTCTGCCTATTCGCGCCTGATGAATTGCTTCCCTGCTGTTTCTCCATGTCGCCTGAAGCTTCTGGCGAAGCATATGATCCGGTTCAGTAGTCGCTAGCCAGCCATCGCCGAGCAGAGCTTAAGACTGACCTGCATGCCACTTTTCTCCATTGCTCAAGTCCAATTTGCAGTGCTTGAAGGATGAAGCGTACGAGACCTGGTTGACATGTCTTGCTAGTGGAGGTTATCCATCGCCTCTACGCGCTTCAGGCAGGAGGTTTCGTTATCGTTATCAGTCATTCTTGCATTGGAACAACACGCTGTTGTCAACTATTCCTTGCTCTACGCTTTTCAGAGGCCGATAGCGATTGACCTGACGGCATGGAGACCAGTGAGCCGAATAACCTTCCTATCGCGCCCCTACATATGTTTGCGCGTGTGCTATCGTACCTTACCTAGTCTGTTCCCCAAACCCAACCTCGCCAGCCTCCAGCCACCAGACGAGCACGAGACCTGTTGCCTAAACAGGAAGGTGGAAATGCGATTATCGTCGGCTGTCCGGCCGCCGTTCCAGGTGCTTGGGTGCTAGATCGCGAACCCGCCCTCACTCATGCAGCTAACACACACCATGACTCGCGAATCGCGAATCCTCCAGCAGCGCCCTGACGGCAAGGCGCCCAATACAAAAGCGCGCAGCCGTCCCCGTCTTGGCCGACACGAACGGCCAAGGCCTTTGTTACTTGGCTTGGTAGTCGTCATCGTCATGGTTGCATCGTGGAAGAGGGCTTTCTGGCTTGTGCCGTCGCTGGCACTGCCCGTGCTGTCGGCAGGACACTGCAAGTTCGACCTCTACAAGCACTTGGGGAACTTGTCGCCCTACTTCGTGCCAGACAATACCCCGGCATCCCTAAAGTCGGGCGCGCCTCCAGGCTGCACCGTCGACAAGGGCTTTCTTGTGCACCGACACGGTAGCCGTAGCCCTCTGTCGGATGAGGTTGGCGCCATTCAGAACCTGTCGTACTATATAAACAACAACTCGGCGCTCTTCTCGTCTCCACAGACGCGGCTACCGACCGAGTTCGCCTTTTTGACGGCAGGCTGGAACAGCACCTTTGGCATCAATGACCTCTCCGCTCCCGGCCGCCAGCAGCTCTTCAACCATGGCGTGGCCATGAAGCTCCAGTACCCCGAGCTGTTCACCGACGTTGTACTGGCCGGAGACCAGGATCGCGTTGTCGAATCCGCCGTCTGGTTCATGGATGGTTATTACGGCCGTCTTGCTAATTCGACAGCGACTCTCAACCGCATTGCTGAGGACGATGTGACCGTGAGCTGGATCACCCCAGTTGATACTTGCGCTGCCTGGGAGTACAGCCTGGGAGCCGACCTGGTGACCGAATGGGGCGCTGTCTACCTCCCGCCTATCGCAAGGCGGATCAACCGCGTGTTGTCTCAAGCGTACCCGACAGTCAATTTCACGGCCGCACACGTCCATGGCATGTTGTATGCCTGTGCATACGGTACTGCTGTATACGGCATTGATTCGTCCCCGTGGTGCCCTATCTTTCTTCCAGAGGAGATTCTCAAGCACGAATACGAGTATGATCTCCTGCTGCGAGGCGCCTTTGGCTACGGCTTGCCCGACGACATGGGCACAGTCACGGGCAGTCTGCTCGTCTCTAACGTCACCGCGTTTCTTCGGGACACCACGGGGCCCAATCTGTCGCTGAACTTTGGCCACGACACTACGATCGACCTCGGACTGACCGCGCTGGGGCTGGCCGCGGACCCGGCCTACCCTCCGGAGGGCCCCGTCAATGCTACACGCGCTTGGCGGACGGCTACACAGGTCCCCTTCGCAGCACAGATGTTCTTCAAAACTCTGTCGTGTGGTGGTGATACCAGGATCCAGCTACTGTTGAACGAGGCCAACTTCGACCTGAGTCCAACAGGATGCGAGAGCGACGAGTATGGGACATGCAGCTTCGGGGACTTCATCGTTGCTGATACCGTCCAAGCCGCGCTCGGAGTGACGCACGACGATGCGAGGTGGGCGGCCGCATGTACTCCCAGCGAATAAGAATAGTTATATAGGAATCTACCTAATTCATAATGACAATTCTCAGCATATCAAGTCTGCTGTTAACCACATTGAGCAATGAAGACCGAGGTTAGCGTAAACAACTGCTGGAAGTCGGTATGTCAGCTCAACCAGATCTTGCAGGTTACCTTTTTGGTCGTGTTATGACATTCACCGGAACGGAACACAATGCACCCTCTTCGCATAGCCGAGTCCCCGTAAATCCCTTCTTAGATAATCGCAAGTCTAGTACTCTTACACGTCAAGACTTAAACTCAGTGAAGCTTCTTTTGTCTGTGAGATAGTCGATCATTTAGTGGAAGTTGAAATGTACGCCAAATCTGGGTACTAGTATTAACCGTCCCAGCCGCATGTATGTCTCAAGGACTTGTCTTGAATCATCAATTAGTTTGTCACGAATCCCAGTCGTCGCGACTGTTTTGATACGTCGCCCTCATCCGTAATAAACATGATGTCAAATGTCTAGAGTAATTGGTAGATAAAGAAGTGAGATGCGGGAAAAAAGGGAGACTACCCATTGCAGGATTCGAACCCGCGACTTCTGGCTACCATGGATAATCGGAGGCCAGCGAGCTAACCACTGCTCTAAATGGGCGAGAATTATAATGAAGGTCAAGTTATTCACGGAGATAAACAAACAGAAGGGTTCCAATTGAACGCGTCTAAGGTAAATGGCATGTTGACGCCACAGCCTTGTCACATGCTCACAGGATATGCGGCTAAGACATGTTCAGAATGAAAGGAAACGACCTCAGGTAGATGCTACCAGGTGACATGTGGCAAGAGCCATGGGCGAGGGACATGTGAAAGTGCCATTGGATGTGACATGTGGACATGCTTCGAATAATCGAAGATTAAGTTGCAGCAGTACTGCACGTGTTGATCGACTAATCGTTAGCATCGTCGGTAACTATAGCAGCGTTTCGGCTTAACTAGCCTCTATACTGTACCGGTCATCCAGTAGGGAGCCTTTATGGGCAGAAACCTTTCATGTGCAAGTGTACAGCCCGAGTTTACGGTAGGTCATCCATGTCTGCCGTGGCACCCACGTGCCTATCGTGCACACTATCTCGGATACATGCATACAAATGAGTTACAGGTATAGATTGATGAACATTTGCAAACAACTTATCGGTGCGACATCCGATAAATGAAGTTGCGACTGATCTCTTTTTCCTATCTTGAATAGCGCATTTTGCTCAGGTCGTCGACCACCCCCATTGCCTTCAAATACAAACCCAGCTGATCCCGTCAGGTCGGAATAAGCTGGCTGTAGTTCAGTTTCATCTCTGAGACACCGGCTGTATAACATACGCATTGTCCGCTGCTTCGAAGTCGCTGTTCTCTGATCCTCGTATAGGACGCCATGCGAACGAGGTCAATGTATAGAAGAGTCACCTTTTCAAGGATCTCTTGTAAACCCTTACTTGATAAACTTATCTGGAATCCACCTTATGCTTTATTATGCAGACGAGTTATGTCGCTTCTTACTACGCACGCGGCATTGGAAGGTATCATGGGCCCCTAAACCGCCGTTGGCAAAGTAGCCATTGTACCCCCGGGGCGGAAAGTTGACCATCGAAGCGCTCTACTTTACTTCTCCCTTTTCATTTTCACCCTTACCTTCAACCCCACTGATAGTGTGTAATCAATCGTCCCAACAAAAGTCTATCACTAGTCCATTCCGGCCTTGTATGACATGGTTCAAGACGCGCTAGTGTGACAATGATCTTATTTAGCAGGAAGTAGATGGCGACTGCCACGATAATAGTGAAAAGTCCCTCTAGAACGAAGAGCCTAATTTTAGGAGTATAGTGTCAGCCAACCTAGAAGATGTGCATGCACACTTCGACATCAACGGATGGGCGTTACCAGCTATTGCCAGCCAGAACTGATTACCAGCGCCGGACGCGCCATCGAGATCAAATACCAGTAGACCTCAATGGCACCTGATAGATTGCCCAGAGCGTAGACCCATACTAATCGCACGGTTGTTTCGTCAGGCCGATACCAGTAAGTAAATTGTAAAATTATGCCGGGAAACATTCCTGCTTTGGCCTGCATTCCCACGTGGTCAGCCTGACGACTCCCCAGAGCAGATGTCAAGAGTGGGAGTCGATGGCTTCACAACTTACTAATCACAGAAGTAATCGAACTGCGTATAGTCCAGCTTTGTTCGTTGCGGCGGTTACGGTACCCCTGAGTACACGTGTAAGCCTGTTGGCTCCCTACACAACTCCAAGGTTACCTATGAGAGTATCGATTGGTGGAGGCCTGAACGGACGTGATGGCGCATGATACGTGTGGATGGCGTCATGCGTCCATTTTCCTCAATTGAAGATCGCGCCCACGTTGTCGGCATGTCGTCGGCATGTTGCCGCCGTAGAACCACCCCCGCATTTGATACCGGAATAACAGGTAGGTACTCCGGCCCCGGAGCCGAAAGATGACTTACGAACGCGGACTTTGACTGAAGCCCCTGCATCAGTCTTGACTGCAATCTCTCGATAGCAGGTATCAACGCAACCGGATCGAACAAGTCCACTACAATCTTATAACCGTCGTGATTCTGACTCGTGAACATATGTTCGCTGCCGTCTCACTCCTGGAGAGCACACTTCTTTCTTCTCGCAGACATGACAACTACTACGGAGACAGTCACCTGGGTTACGCCAGCCGCCCGACCACCTCCCGGACAGCCCGACATCAAGTATGCCCCTGACTATAACAATTGGCAGGCTCGCGCAGCTCGGCGAAAGGGCGCCGGTGATCTACCAACGAGCTTGCCTCCAGGCTTCCCAGAGCAACTCACGGGCCCGATGGTGTGGGAGGGGAGTTCGGTCGCCGACACCTACGATTGGACTTACGTCCTCAACCCGGATCAGCTAGCAGAAATAGATGAGGCCGTGGCGCATTTCAAATGTGACTCACCCTCATCATACAGATACATAGATCTATGAGCGCTGCTGTTCAGTATTTCTTCTCTCTGCGTAGCATCTAGCTAACTCCTTGACCCAGCGCTTAACCTTTCGTTCGCCCACATCAAAGCGGAAACTTTCCCTCTACCGACTCTCCACTCGGAGCTTCGGCGCCTGTCTGACGAGCTTCACAGTGGCCATGGCTTCTTTGTGATACGTGGCGTCAAAGTGGAAGAGCACTCGCGGGAAGACAACGTTATCATCTACCTCGGCATATCTTCTCATATTGCCGCGCGGCGCGGTCGCCAAGACCACAAGTTTAACGGCAAGCCTGCTGACGTGGTTCTGGCGCATATCAAGGACCTAAGTCACTCCGACCCGAACAATGTCATCGGTTCTCCAGCCTATACGACAGACAAGCAAGTTTTCCACACCGATTCAGGTGATATCGTTTCCCTTTTTGCTCTGGAGACAGCTCATTCCGGAGGGGCTAGCAAGCTGGCTAGCACGTGGAGAGTGTACAACGAAATTGCTCGGACTCGGCCTGACCTTATCCATACTCTTTCTGAGATATGGGACATGGAAGTGTATGTGTCGCGGTAGTCTTCTTTGTCTACAAGATTTCATTCTGTTCATCGCAACTCATTCTCGGTACTTTAGATTCGAAAAAGCGGCAAAGCAATGGACTGAGAGACCCCTGATGTACCTTCTACCGGCTACTGAGAAGGCTCCCGAACGAGTCGCACTGCAGTATGGGCGACGGTATTTCGTCGGGTTCGGTGCACTGCCACGCAGCGAGAATATCCCGCCCATCACGGAAGCACAGGCGGAGGCCCTTGACACTCTTCACTTCACGGGCGGTAAGTTCTGCGTGAACACCGAGTTCGAAAAGGGCGACATGCAATACGTGAACAATCTAAGCGTATTCCACGCCCGAGACGGATTTGTGGATAAGGGCGACAAGCAGTAAGTGCTGGCCAGTTTTATTTATCCGATATCATATCATTGGCCTGCAATTGCCATGTGTACTCATATACTTTGAGGCGACATCTTCTTCGACTATGGCTTCGAGACCCGGAAAACGCTTGGCCTACGCCCAGTCACTTGCGCCCGAGGTGGGCACAGATCTATGAAGGTATTACGCCAGAAAACGAGGTCTTTCCATTGGAACCTTTCATTCGCAGCGCCGGGAATAAAGGGCGATGAAGACGTTTGATGGTGGTGGACTGCAGATTCCAGGAGAGCTATGCCGGTCTACTTGACCCGTTTTTGCACCTGCAGCTCCGAATTCAGGGGTAACTAGGTACCTGTATAGATTGGCTTGCGATTTTGTCGCCGTTCCGTACCCTTCGAGAAGTAGTGCGTATAATAACTGGTGTCATGTAGCTATCAAAGAAATGCCGAAAGTATCATCTATGAAGCCAGCATCTAGTCTGTCTATTCTATAGGGTATATGAAATTCAAAATGTTCGCCGCGCGTCCGTCGCTTTCCCGTTTGAAAACCGACATGTTTTATACACCGATACAAATAAGAAATAAAGACATCACAATAAGGTGAAATCATTAAGGTCGGGCCATGAGTCCGATACCAGGAGAGTTTCGCCCACGACTGTGCATCAGCTCAGCATGCAATCGGTTGATGTCGTGACTCATTGGATAGAGAGGGGACATCGGTTCCTCATCGGGGGGTGTGTCCAGTGTCGTTTGTGTATGTCTTCGCGGCCTTGGGTAGGTACCGCTGACGCTCATCTTCCGCGGCCGCATCTTTCCCGACGGAGAAGCCACTGGGGTAGTATTCTGGGAAGACATGGATGATGCCGAACTGATGGAAGTCTCTGACCCCCTATTGCTGAGCGAGAAAACACTCGGTCGCCTGCGAGTCCGGCGATTCTCCTCGTCATCGATACGTAGGCCTTCGGATAGCTCCGAGAGGATGTCTATAGTGGAGCGGCGCCTGTCGCATTGTTTACCCAGCCGCCTCAGCCACCAGCTCTTGTCGTGGTCCTGGGGTGCATAATCCAATAGAGTGTCTAACGCCTCTTCCACCTTCTGCAGCTTGTAGTCTTCAAGCTCCAACGGGAAATGGGTTGAGGCAAGCTCTAGCAATGCGCCGGCATGATATGCTTCCTTCTGTCTACCAGCCTCGGACTCTCGTAGTCCACAGGCGTCAGCTTTGAAAACGAAGAGATCCGTCAGCGAGATATAGGGCAGCTCCTTGATCTCCACGATAGGCCGAGCCGAGCTGGGCAGATAAGGACAAAGCCATTCAGGTGTAATCTTGATTTCGACAGCCCATCCTGCTGGATGTTTGAAGTACACACCCTGTGGTCTTTCAACAAGCAATTTCTTGGATTGAGCGAGAAGTGTCTTCTTCACCAAGCTCGGCGATGTAGGCTTGCTGACGATGAACTCAATGCTCTAGAAGAATCCGTTAGTATCCGTCATTTCCGATTGAAACTGTCCGTCGGCAGCAAAGACATACCTCGCAGGATGCTGGTTGTTGCAGATACTTGGTCACCGCCAAGTCCCCAATGAGTGCAAGGCGGGTGTTGGCGAGTGCAGGCGCGTCTCTCATGAGTCGAATGACACACGATGCAGCTTGTTCTAGGTCCTCGAAGCCCGGCCGGGCGACGGCAGTTGACGGACGAGGCATGGCGAAGAGACCGTAGAAAGCTGC